CACACTAACTGCAATGACTCCCTTTTTGTGCTTCGCACACGGGAGTCAAAAAATGTTGTGGTTCCTTTAATCCTAAACTTTTTTGAGCCATATTTGAGAAAACCGTGCCAGGGTTTGAATGTCATTTTACAGAAATTCAAAACTTTGCGAAACTGAGTAATGATTTATGATACTCTTATTTGCAAAACAGTCCTTATATGCAAGAAAAAATTGAAACAAAAAGAATCCCTACCTACATGTGTACCTACTCCATTTTTGAAAAGCATGTCATAGCAAGAAAAGTAGGAATTATTGGAATCACAACATTTTTTTATTTGGCCTAATACCCTAATAAATCTGAAAGATTGATTCATGAGTGCAAAGTTAAAACTAAACAAGCATTGCACTATGACAACTGTACTTTTCAGATTGATATAGTGGTCACATGGTAGCTTGTGTACATTTCAGTATAACCTGCATAAGGACTATTTGATTATATTGCCAGATATATTCACTGGTAGAAATATGGTAAAAACTAACAAGTAACAATATACCATTTTATCTATTAAATGGGACTATACAAAGAAATGATCAGAAGGAAAATATTTACTAACATAGATATTACTATGTACTGTCATTAAATATAGCAGTATTCCAAATCAACAGAAATAGCTAAACTAAACAATTATCTAAATATAATAGATGTAACTTTTTCCATAACCAGTATGAAGTTTGGAAAATTCCATCAATAAACAAAATACAAACATCTGTAATGTGTTGTTGAAAACATTTTTATTACTGCAGTACCAAGATAGTATAAATTCTTTTTGCAGGCTAAATGATAGATATTTGAGGAAACAAAAACCATGCAATCTAATTGAAATAGGGCTCTTAGTCAAGCTTTTTTATTTATATATAGTGTTTTATCATAGATTTAATTAATATTTTCTCATTTATTTTATTTTAATTTATTATTTAGTTGCTGGGAGTTTTGATAAACAGATGCAAAAAAAAAAAAAAATTTAAGCCAAGAATTATTTTGTGAATGTCAGGTAATTTAAAAAATCCCAAATTATGAAATGAATATAACTTGCTTTGCTATTAAAAAAAATACTTATTATGCAAATAAGAAAATTTGATCACATGATCATACTAACCAATCAAAGTATCAAGTTCAACTTTATTACCTTTGAATACTGTATATGTATTACGCTTTTTTTTTTACATATACAAAACAAAGGATTAAAAATGTGTTGTGGGCAAATAATATACAAAAAAAGCAAAACAAGGAACTGCATAATAACAACCTTGAATAAAAAACAGATCTGCCCATTTTGCCTTTATACTAAATTTTAGTTAGGTTTGGGCAGCACTAAATGCTTCCATCTTCTGAGTATAACAATATATTTATCTTTTCTAGACTTTTCATCCTCAAGTTTTCGAAAGACAACTCTCATGACTTCAATCTTATCTTCCTCACTGCCTTTCACAATATCTACGGTGTCACCAACATCAATCTGTGAAAAAATTATTAAACAACTTAAATCAATAAAAAGCACTAGGAAAAAGTATTAAGCATGGTATTCTAAGACGCCGAAAACTCAATCACAATCGATCCAAAAACTTGCTTGGTGATGTTTTCGATTGGCAAGTGTCACATGAAACGTAATATAACCGTAATTGGTATAGTACAGGTGTGATGGTTCAAATACCAAAATGGCAACAGCAACAGAAAGACTTCCCTGGCGGCGATGATAACATGCGAACACGGAGCCAACAAATGAGGTTTCAACTGGTACTGGTATTATTATACTCTGCAAACATCAAGCACAATAACGCGGTAAAACTCCACTACTCCAATAAATAGATACTTAAACTCCAATGCAATTCAACGAGATCTCCGATCTGAACTCAGTGCTGAACAACTCCCCTATATATACCCACACTGTCTATAAATAGACCATTACATCAGCATACATAATGATTCTGGAATTTACTATAAATTTCTAGAATGTTCCATTACCTTCTATTGCCTCCTACAGTGTTCTATTACCTATTCAACCAGTTTCTAAAAAAATCTAGAATATTCCACCCAGACACAGTACGGTTCTAGAACATTCTCAGTGACATGGAAGTGGTAAATAAGTCGTATGCGACAGCAAGAAAGTTCTGATTACTGCAGCTCCCTATTGAGTACACATTTTAATTGACATGTCAACAGGGTTCAAACCAAATTCTAGCGACAAAACAACTTTAATAAGAATATAACTCACTCGTTTACTTTTCTTTGTTAATTTTTCACCATTCAATCGTAGCTTTCCTGATAAAAATGCATCATCAACTTTACTGAAATATCATAAAAAAAACTTTACATGAATATACGAACCAAAGCCATAAAAACCAGCAGATTACAATGAAAGTTACAAAGTTTAAAACAAAGTAAACATATTTATAACAAATAAAATGGAGTTCATCAATCAAGAAATGATACATATATTGTTGCCTTATTGTCAGTTCTAATTAATATTAATGAATAGTTCAACATTATCTAATCAGCAAGCGCCTCATTTTTTGAATAAGTGGGTGGTTACAGTTGCTATGTCAAAAGAAGCATACATCCATGCAAGAATATGCATTATGGGCGTAGACACTACTGAATATTTGAACTTTAATAAAAGTTAATGATCAGCTTTTATAATTTTTTATAAATATGTTTATAAGCGAAACCCTAGCTTTATACATGTACTTTTCACTGCAATAAGTAAATTGTTTCAACATCATTGACAACTACAACCTTAGCATTTTGTAACTCCCAAATAAATTATTAAATTAATAATTTTATTGACACAACACTATATCAAAGTTATACAGCAGCATTGTCATTAAATACAGCTATCAACAATATTAAAAATAAAATATACATAATTTGCAAATCATGTACTCACTTTCGAGATAGTCCTAAACCTGTGGCAAGAATCTGGTCAGCTCGAAATCCACTTATATGGTATCTGATGTCTTTCCACGTTTTAGATTTTCCATCATTATCAAGAGGATCATAGTCATCGTCAAAATATTCTTCTTCATTTCCATCATCACTGCTGTCATAATTAAGTACTTCTTCGTATGATTTCACACGCTTCCCCGTGCTCTTTTTTCGAGATGAAAAAAGTCTAATATTTGTTAAAAAAACAGCATTTATATCTACGTTTTTAACAGTCAAAATTGAATTTGTGCAGAAATGTCCTGATAATAAGATGTTGCCAAGACAACCCAACTTCTCCCTCGATGTGACGTCTTTAATATATGTTGGATATAACGACGGAATACAAGAATATTCCTGGACGTGAGACTTCTTCTCGGATGAACTATCTTTAATGTTATGGATACGGCATGTTACTGTTGCTGGAAGACTTGTACGTACACGGCTGTACACTACTAGATGTCGGGCATTCATTCTTTTCATCATCGCGTATCGTCGACAGCAATATTATGTATACATAGATTATGAATTACTCGTCGGTTGGCGAAATCTCACGCCTGGGCCCCATGGTATAATAAGAGGACGCAATAGAAGCTGGCACGCAATAAGAGCACGCAATAAAAAATGCCGTAAACCGGAGTTCGGTGTTTTTTTGTCGTGCACATCAAATCGGCCGCAGTCGATATATTTTCGAGTATTATATGTCAATCGAAAGAATAATCTACTATTAGTCTTATCTCGATTGATATATAATATTCAAAAATAAATTTGTGTTTAAAGTGACTGCAGCTGATTTAATTACAAATATCATTGCACCTGTTGTGCCAAAATGTGAAATATTGCTCTACATGGGCATCGATCGTGAAACGCAATATATACAACCAATGTTTTTTTTGTTCGCCTTAAACTAGTTTATAATGTGTAAAACTATGGTTGTTTTTTTAAAAAATATTAAATGAGCAATTTGAATTGAAAGCGAACAAGGCTATGAAACTGTCAGCCAAGTACAGCGTGATAGAGTTTAGCACTTGTATTGCTTCGTCGTATTTTCGTTGAAGATTCTTGCCAAAAAAGGAAAGAAATTCGATTTATACCAAATACACCAAATATGATTATTTTAGTCACACCAGTCCAATGTGCACGACAAAAACCGCCGAACAATGCCGATTTACGGCATTTGTTATTGCGTGCACTTATTGCGTGCCAGCTTCTATTACGTGCTCTTATTGCGTGTCAACTTCACACTGGTAAAATGGCGGCTAAACGAGGAAAGTTTTCGAATCCAATAGAAGAAGCATATGGAGACTATTGTGAAAGTGGGTATAGCGATGAAGATGTGTTTGGAAACTGTGAAGGAATATTACGACAGCAGTAATGAAGTGAGCAGACCGTTGGAAGAACAAAACGAAGATGACGATAAACCTGAGGAGGCACCTTTCATTATTTCTTGTAAAGGATGCAATCGGGTACTGAGCGACTCAACAGCTTATATTGAAACTGATTCAACACTTGGAACGATTCATATGAGAGGTACGTCACTTTTTTTAATGTTCACTCAAATGCAACATAAAAGCGGACAACTAAGGGTCGGACCATTTGATTTTTGAGGGGGGGTCAGAATAAAAAAAAATGAAGGGTGAAAGGTGAAGTGAAGGGTTCTTCAAAAAAAATTGTTGCTTCACCAGTGTAAAAAAAATTGTTGTCACTATATGACTTGGGGGAAAAAATGTTTCCATCAGCTGTTGTCGTGTCATCTCTGAACACGGTAGATTCACTTGACTGCATCATAAAAATATGGCAATTCTTCCTGCCAAGATAAGGGGGCACATAGTACAAGAAGAAACTAAGTCATATATAAATGGATGTCAATGATTCTGGTTTGTGGATTAATTAATAGCAGAAGGAAAATTAATATTTGCATTTCAACATTTCAAAAACAATTTCACTCTGGTTGCATTTAGATACCATATATGCTCTATTAGAAGAGCATCTCCAATAGAAGCACATGTACGACAACAATTGCATTGATTGTCTACTGATTTATTAAAAAATTATGTATTTTGACCATAGAAACACCTCTGTTATTTACATAAGAACATGCGCTACTAATAGAGCAAATACGATATTGCATGCAACATCTCTGACAATTTAGCTGTTTTAGTTTAAATACATTTTACAGACTAAAACAGAAACATTGTTAGAAAAGTTGCTTGCAATATTGCTGACTACTGAAAAATACTTTATTTTCTCTGGAATTTATTTTTGCTGAAAACAAAAAAGTGTGGATATAATTTCACTATGTTGTATTAAGACTCAATGCAACGTATAAAGAAAGCTGCATTTTCACTGGAATTTTTTTTGCAGAAAATTGACTTCAGGTAGAACAGGGAAAACAAGTCATTGAAAATGAAACAGTCCCCGTTAAATTTTTGAAAGTTCTCTTTGTGCTTGTCATATTAAAGCGGAGGGGTTGTCGCGGGTGTGTCCTTGAAACTTGAGTCCCAAGTGGCAAATACAACAGATTGTTTATTTACATCAAATTCGAACATGTGTTGCGTGACGACCCCTCCAGTTAAAGACATAGCAAAGAAAAACATAGATCATAAATGAAAGTGAAAGTAAAACTAATTGAGGTGCATGTCTATGTTATTGCACTTGCTATAATTGTTTAAAGTATATTTGAGAAAATGCAAGTCTGAGGATCAGAATGAGGCATTAAAATTACATTACCACATATTGTGCATCTCATGAATATTAATGCTTGTTGCCATGGTGCCCTACAATAAATTTTACATGAGGCTTACAATGTTAACATATGTGTAATGACCGAATTTGAGATTCTGGGATAGGGAATACAGCAATTGCAACTCTTTGTAATTGTATTGTTAGTTCTGGACTAAAGTGGCTAATAGACCCTTTGTACAAGTCAAGCGCCCTCTTGTGTTGAATATTGTGGTGAAGGAAGTGTTCTCAAATTTGCAGTTTTAATAAATATCAGTCAAAACAGTACGTTGAATACAATTTAACGTTTGTCATGCCTCTAATTTAAATTCACATGGCAGGGGGTGTCAAACAACGGTGATCTATCTGTGTATTAACCTTGCCCATCTACATCATAAAATTAAAAGAACTTCCCCCGCAAGGGGGATAAAAAACGTGTCCGTTTAGTTGTAGCTGTGAATATTTGGTGACCAGTCGATGAACAATTTGAATATCACGATTCACGCGGAAGTCCTTCATCGACCCCAGTCTGGTTTACTTTATTTCACAACTTGCAAAATTGATTTGCAGTGGACACTAATGTATCTCAGCCCAGTTTTTTTTTTTTTTCTTTTTTTGAACTGAGGTCAAATCTTATTCCCTTAGTCAAAATATACTGTTGTTTTTCAGTGAATAATTGTGAAGCCTGTCACAGCACAAAAAACTATGTGAATGGACGCCAGAGATTGGATGGTATGACGACCCTTCAATTTGCGTAAAATATGCTTTGTTACAACATCATTGATTGGCTGAGAGTCACCTGATCGGAGCACGACCTGGGTCACAGAACCATATTTGTCTGTATTACCAACTGAATTTTGTGAGAGAACCACAGCCTCATTTTCAACCATTTTTAGCGCGGAAGTTGCCAACAAATGTTGAAAAACTCATGAATTTTATGGATTCGAATAAAATAAAGCTAGCAATTGGTAAGACTGGTTAATAATATATCCCCCAATGCTCTTCGATATTTTTTTTATTTCAAGGTGAAAAATACATAATTGAATTTGCATCGATTTCAAGGCGGTTGTTTCACAGCGACAACTCTACGATCTGTTGTACTTTCGGGAAGTAAACAAATATATATATTAAATAGTACTCGTTTAATTATTTGGTTTTACAGCCCGCAAATTACGGGACATGATCTTCATGAATTACGATAAATAAATGCAGATTATGTAGAATAATATGTTTGGGACGGTTTGGAGAAACTAACTGGGATCGATATTCCAAACAAATTATTGGGACACGGTCGGTAGACATTCCAAACAAATGAAATTATTAACGAAAGGAAAGGAAACCATGTCGTACTTCTGTTGAAATATATTTTGTAGCAGTGCGTCACGTCAGAATATTGTTTAATATAAAATATTCAATCCCAGCCAAATCTAGGTCAAAGGGTCAGATTGCATGCATATAATTATAGATAGATAAAACAAAAAGTATTTGAACTTTTGACGGTTGTTCAACATCTATGAAAACCAGAAACTTTTCAGTAGTTCGAATTTTAAATGCAAGTGAGCGGGTGGTGATATTTCAGGGTTTGCGCAGTCGAAAATAAAGCGGAAATTGTCCGGTTAAATTCAACCAACGGTTGCAAAAGCGAGCAATTGAAAAGCGAAAGTGGGCGGGAGGTTGGGCGAAATGAGTGCTGTACTTCTTTGTTTGATGTAGCGATGCTGATGCCACATTGTCGCTATAATGAGGCCACAATGATGTGAAGCGATAACCGCCTAACTTTTTAATGTCGCGACACTCATGCGATGATGAAGCCATAACAATGCCATAATAATGCAATGCTGAAGCGAAGCTGACGCTGGCTGTCAATCGGCAATCCTTGATCCGATTTTGAAACAAATTGTCGAAGACATGTATCCTAACATGTATAAAGTATGTGACAAATTTGAATGAAAACTGACAAAGCATGTCCAAAATACGAATTTTTCAAAAAACAAGATGGCTGCCAGTGGTCCATTTTGAATCGAATCACTAAACCACTACATGTGCATATGTCCCACATAAGGTACTAGGCACATGCAAAGAATGAATGAAATTGGTTGAAATGATTCTGAAATATGACTGTGGACGCACACACAGACGGACAGATGGACGCACAGACGGTCGGAGGACATATATCCTAACATGTATAATCTATGTACCAAATTTGAATGAAAACTGACAAAGCATGTCCAAAATACAACATTTTCAAAAAACAAGATGGCTGCCAATCGGCTATTTTTAATCGAATCACTAAACCACTGCATGTGCATATGTCCCACATAAAGTACTAGACACATGCAAAGAATAAACGGAATCGGTCTGAAGGATTCTGAAATATGACTTCGGACGGATGTACTGACGGTCGCACTGACAGAAATATGGACGGAGACCGGATTCAGACTTTGTCTGAACGGGGACTAATAAAATGCCAGTGCAAATAAAGCATTCCACGGTATGATATGTGACCACAATAATATACAAGATACATTCATGATTGTATGGAACCATGTTTTATTAAACATGTAATAAATATAATAATTAAAATGTAATTAAATAAATATTAAAATAAATGAGAAACAATTTTTGTCAGCAAATGTTTTACATCACACTCTTACAGAGCAATCTCGTTCTGACCTACAATCCGACTCTCACCACCCACCTCACTTTCACAAACCATTCCACTATCACCACCCACCTCACTCACACCTACCATCTCGGCATTCAGATATGGAAGGAGAGGATGCATGTTTTATGATGGTCTGAAGGACCAACCCTTGTCAAAGTACCAATCCATCCTACCTTTGCTACCTTCGTTGAAGATGATGAAAAAAAAAATGTTGGATATGGTGGACTCCTAAAAAAAAAAAAAACCTACTGATAACAAAAAAATCTCTAAACACATATAAAAAAAATTTACCTTTCACTGAGCTGCCCCCCCTCAAAAATCAAATGGTCCAACCCTAATTTGATCTCGGCTGTCCAAAATTTTAAAGAAGTTATGTAGCAGACATTAATAAAAGATTGCATTTTGCTTAAAGTTCCTGTGGAATGGCTGCTGTTTTCCCGCCTAAAATTATTCATTGGTACATCAATATTATTAATTTTCATGTTTCTAAGCATAAAATATTTTTTAAAGTGAAAAAATGCGTTTAAAACTCTATAGCAACTTCATTAGCTTAACTTTATTAGGGCTTGTAGTTCTGACTCCGTCAGTCCGTCTGGAGTGATTTCTCGGAAATGGCTGGACCGATTTTTTTGAAACTTGGTACAAAGACATAGTGGTCAACCATACATGGGCATGTCAATTTATTTACCGATTCGATCAAATATGGCCGACTGGCGACCATTTTAATGCCAAAATTCAGTCAAATTCAGTCCTTGTGTGTCCATCATCATTTCTCGGAGATGGCTTGACCTATTTTGTTGAGACTTGTTACAAAGACAAGGGGACCACCCATACAGATGCACGTTATTTTACTTTTTTGAAAATTGTTAATCATGCTATTTGTCTGTACATTGATATTTCTCAGAGATGCCTTGATTGATTTCAATGATACTATTTCCTGATTTGATCAAATATGGCTGCCTGGTGTTCATTTTGAATGTCAAAATCCTGTAAAATCCATATTTTTGGGGATATCTTGTGAACTAATAGTCCAAATGAGACCAAAGTTGGTATAGACTTACTTGATCTGTCAATATACGATATGTGCTATGCAATATTTACTTTCAACTAACAAGCTCATTCGCATATTTAATTAATTTTAAAT